GGTCCATCCCAGGGGAGAAGTGGTGGTTTGCTGCCTTCCCAAAATGATGACTCTGGAGGCAGCTTTGATGAATCCTGCCCAGCTCTGTGCTTGTTTTAATAGAAGCTCAGGCATTTTGCAAGCCAAGAGGTGCTCATGAGGATGTTTTGCTAATGGGGCGGGGGCATCTCTGGCATCTTTGGGCAGGATCCTCAAGTGAATGCCCAAATGGGTGTAGATGATGTGCTAATTCAGGATGTGTCCTGCCCTCCTGACAGGTCACTGCCACAAACCTGCTCTCCTTCCACCCACTCCTTCCTGCCAGGAGCTAAAGGACTGAGGCAATGCACAGCTCCCACCTGGGGAACCAGCAGTGTGCAACAACTGAGGCAGAGCCAGAGATGACAAGGAGGTGACAAAGTGCTGGAAGTGGCCTTCATCCAACAAGGCCTGTTGCAAGGGAAGCAGAAGGCAAAGACCTCAGTGAGTTCAACCTTCTGCTATAATGCTGAGGTATTGCCACAGGCTGCCCAGGGAAGTGGCAGTCATCATCCTTGGAGGTGTTCAATAAAAGGGTAGATGTGGCACTGAGGGATGTGGTTTAGTGGGCATGGCAAATGGGTTGATAGTTGGACTTGATGATCTCGTGGTGTTTTTCCAACCTTAATGATTTGATGGTACTATGATCCTAAGTTAAACCATCCCAGCTGAGCAGTGTGTGCTCCTGGGAAGACAAAGACTGTGGGAAGAGCTCTGTCTGGAGCAATCTCTACTGAACATCTCAGTTTCTCCCATGAGCACAGTGTGGGTTGTGCAAGTGGAGCCAGGAAGGACTGGCTTGCAGGACAGTGGGTAGGAACACAGCTCTCCCATGGAGCTGAGCTGTGCCCAGGTTTTGTAGTATGACTGGAATGCACAGCAAGTAGGCTGGGGAGGGATGAAGGTTCTTTGGGCTTGGCTTAAGGCTCAAGTCCAGAGGCATCTTTCAAAACAAGATAAGAGAGGGGTTCAACCCAGAGAGCACCCTGCAAGGTGTCAGCTCAGCCTCTGAATGTCCTCTGTGCCTCTGAGCAGACACCAGCTCTGGGGCCACAAGCACACAGTGGTCACCCCATGGAAAGCCCCCCTGGGCTGCCTTTCCCGTCACAGCTCCCAGGGACAGAGCTTTGGTCTGTACATCTGTGCCACAACACCCCGCCCTTCCTGCCCTATATCACACACCCCCTCATTACCTCCCACAGCACCCCAACCCACTCCTTACCGCACCCTCCTTCCTCCCCCTGCTGCATCCCACCCCAAAGATGCACCCCAGGCATCATCTCGCGTCTCATCCACTGCATCCTTCCCTCTCCCCCTTTGCAGAGAGATGAGAAAATGCTGGGAACACATGCTGGCATTGCAGAAATTGCTGTGCTCCTCCCTCCCCCCAGGATCAGGGTGCCTGATGTAGCAGGCTGCAGGGCTGAGCCCCGCTCCAGGCTGCTCCAGGAGCAGCACTGCAGCTGACAGCCTGGCCGAGTGGGCAGAGCGGTGCCAGGAATATCAATCAGTGTGCCTTGGCCAGAGCCAATGCTTTCATTGCGCTGGGACTTGCAGGAGCTGCCGAGCTGTAGGGACATGGGCTCAACATCCTTCAGGATTTGGGAGGAGAAAGATATGGGAGAGGGGAAGGAAACTGCCTGAATAGGGCAGAAGGAAGGGAACAATCAGGAGAGAGGGATGGATTGGGGCAGATGTTGCAGTGGAAGCCTGGAAGTGAAAGGCAAAGGGAAAAGGGGGGAGTGGGCCAATGGCTGGCTAAGCAGGGTGGGGAGGAGGAATGGGCAGGAGTGGGGCCTTGGGGCTGCAAGGCCAGCAAGTTGTGGGTAGAGCATAGAGCACAGGTATGAAGGAAGAGATGAGAGTTCTGTGCAAACCGCCAAGAGAGCAAAGGATGATGTCCCAAAACCCGGTGGGGACAGAGGCTGCCAAGCAGGAGAGATCTGATGCTCTCCTCAGGAGGATGGGGACGGGAAGCACCATGCCTACCTGTCAGACACTCCAATCACTGGGGTCACCACACCGTTTACACCTTGCTGTCAACTTGCCATGCAATGCAATCTGCATACAGCCCTGTGCCACCTCCTCTTGGGACAACACAGTACCCATCCACGTGCCACCTCCTCCTACATGGTTCCCACCCCTGTGCCACCTCCTCCTCGGACACTGTAGTATCTGATCCCATGCCTACTCTCCTAAGACAACATGGCACCAATCTCCACATCATCTCCTCCTGCAGGAGACATAGCTCATCCCATCACCATGCAGACTGCACTGGGGGGTGCAGACTGGGAGCATCCCACTTCTCGCCCTCCTTGACACTCCCCATGAGCGCTCAGGGCCCTGCACTACATCCCCAGGCACACTGAATCTGCGCCAGTCCCAAACGAGCCGGAGATCAGGAGCTGATTTGCATTTTGGGAACTGCTCCCAGCACAGCTTCTATCCAGAGCAGGGGAAAACAGGGCAGGTCCCCCCTGAACCCTCCGCTCCATCTGCAGCTCAGCTCTGGATCCATTTATCAGCTCATTCCACGTGAGCGACCTTGACAAAACCCAATGACCCAGGACGGCAGGAGACTTTCCCAGACATCTGCTAACACCTAAACCTGCAATTTATGGAGACTTACAACTAAATTCTACCACAAGACAATTTCATTTCTGTCCATTACAGCTACAATATTCCTCTTATTCCCCCCCACCTGCAGAGAGTAATTAATGCTGCACTGCACTGCCTCGCCTGCAGGCAGGTGCAGGTGCCTCTGCTGAGCTCGCAGCAGTGTGCCCAAGCCAACATCACTCCAGCTGGCTTTGTGGGCAACAGGGGGCCATAGTGACCTGGGCAGCTTTGGGTTTGTGCAGCCAGGAGAGGAGAAAGGAGGAAAAAAAGTAGAAGAAATGCCCCAGCAGATGGGGGCTGGGAGGGAGGCAGAAGAAAATACTTTGGCACCTGAATGTGGTTGTGTTCTGGCTGAGGGTTCATCAAAGAGCTGCTGAGGGCGAGGAGGGAAGGGAAAGTGCTTTCAGATGATTCCCAAAGGGCTGTGAGGAGAAGCCACTTCTCCAGCCTGGCCGGCTCATCCTTGCAGGGCTGCTGCTGGAGGTGGGTGCCTGTGTCTCCTTTCCTCTTCTGCAGCCACCGCACCTCCTGCAGGGCACAGCTATGCCTGCCCAGGAGGCCCAGACGCTTCCCGGCCGGTTGGAGATAAAACCTGACGCTGTTAGCAAAATAAACGAGGAGGCTGGAAGAGCCAAGGCTGGCACCAGGCTCAAACCACGGAAGCCAGAAGCACTGGTTTCCCCAGCTGATCTAATCTTTCCCAGCGCCAGACCTCCTCTTCCCAGCGGGCTGGTGGGGCCGGTTGGAGCCCCTGGGGAAGAGGTGAAGTCAGTGCCTCCTTGCACCCGAAGTTGAACCAACAACTTTGAGAACGAGGGAGTAAAGCCAGAGAGGGGGGACCACGATCTTTTTGGGGAGCATGGCAACCTTGCTCCATTGCAAGCCTGCTTGGGAGGACATTTCCTCCACAGTGCTGATACTCGTGTGGTGGGGTGGGAGCGCCTTGCTTTTGGTGCCCCCCCAGCGCTGCTGACGCACCCAGGCTCCATCTGCATCCGCGTCCTCATTGCAGCACTGCGGCAGGATTTGGGTCATGCTACCAAGGCGGGGCTCTGCTCCTCCGCCTGCTGGCCCAGAGAGGTGGAGGTCTCATGTGGACAAGGGGATGGATAGGATGAATCAGGAGAAGGCATGGCACAGGGATGCTGGGGTATATGTGTGGTGAACCATGTCCTGGAAGAAGGCTCCTTGGAAGGCTGAAGATGGGAGAAGTCGTGCAGGGAGTCAGCGCCCTGGGACCTCTGGGTTGGCTAGTGGGGGATGGGGGAAGGTTATGGAGGGGCTGGCCCATGAGAACATTGTTTCTGGGCAGCAGGAACGTGGGAAGCCTGCCTGGGAAATGGCCGGGAGCCAGAGCAGCTTCAAGGGCAGCACGGAAAATAAGGCACAAGCAGTCAAAAATAGAAAACTTTATTGAAGTCAAATCCAACAGGGCAACAGAGCTCAGCCCTGTGGCAGGAGCCCAGCCTGCCACTTGGGGCTCTCCATGGGGCACAGGGATACAGCACGGCGCGAGATGGACCAAGTGGCCCTCACCCATGGGCCAGGAACAGATGAAGCCACCCATCCCCTATCTCCCTCCCTAGTAGCTAAGGACAGAGCTGAGAACAGAGCTAAGGACAGACTCGACAGGTGCCAAAGCAGAGATGAGGTGCAAGCCAACTGGCCAGACAGCCCAAGGAGAGAAGGTTCCACAAGCTCTGGACCCCTGCGGTCCTCTCATGACCTCCAAGCACACCAGCCAGCAGCCTGGTCCTGCCCACACCCAGCCCCATGTGCAGCACAAGTCCCGGCCAGACGCAGAGCAGTGACCTAACCGCAGCACACAGCAGAGACCCCGCATCCCACAACTCCGACCTCTCAGCCCCATGCCAGCAGTGAGGAGCCCCGTGTGAGGAAAGCGGCTGGGCCCCGATGCTTTCACTGTGCCAGTGATGGCAGAAGGCCCAAGCCCTGAGGAAGGCAGAACCCAAGCCTGGGAAAAAGGCAGTGCTTTGCTCCCCTGCCCAACCCCACCTTCCCGGGCAGCCCAGCAAGTGCTGCACTCCAGCTTTTGGGATGCTCTGCATAGGGAGCTGGACACAGCTCTATGCTCACATTGCCCCAGTGACTGTCAGTCCCCAGAGAATACCCAGCTGGGTGGTGTCCCTCCGGCGCTCCCCATGCAGAGGCACAGGCATGCAGCAACCTGTGTGTCACCACCACCCAGGTCCCAGCCCCGGGAGCTGTGACAAGGACTGCAATGCTCTTCTGTCCCTGTCCCTTCCCCGCCCTGCAGTCCAGGCTCACTCCCACACCTCGGTCCAGATGGGTCCCCGGTGCAGCGGGGGGGCCGCTGCCGGCCTCAGGATGAGCTCTCCTACCTGCTTGTTGGTGTATTTCTGGGGATTGGTGCGGTAGCTGTAGTCCGAGTACTGCTCGGAGCCCGTTGAGTTGTTGTCCCCGGTGCCAACAAAGGTGTTGGTGGCCGGCAGGTCCTGCACCACTTGGTGCTTCTTGGAGGCAGAGGGAGACTGGGGCTGCAGCTGGATGGAAGGCAGGGGTGAGTTGGAGCGGTAGTGCCGGCCCAGGTCCGGGCTGCCCGGTGGGTAGTTGAGGGGCAGGTGGATACGGGGGCTGTCACTGACAGAGTCATTCATCAGGTTGAACTTGAGGGATTTCTGCAGCCCTGTCTCCTCCTCATCCTCTGTTGGTTTGGGTGGCTTCGGAGACTTGCTCTTCTTCACCTTGTTCTTGCTCTTGCCACTCTTGCTGGCCTGCTTGGGCGCATACAGGTCTTTGGTCTCTTTCTTCCCTGCCTGGTAGCCACTCTTGGCCTCCCGCTGTCGGCAGTAACGCACCAGGACAACCAGCACAATGACCAAGGTGACAGCCACAATGCCAGCAATGACTCCAAAGAGAATGTTACTTCTCTGCTTGCTGCGCTCATACTCGGGGTCCCCAGCAATGTCTATGTCAAGTGGTGTGTCCAGGCTGTGCCCCACCAGCGTGTCCAGCAGTGTGCGATTGGCCAAAGTCTCGTTGACATAGAAGTGCACCAGGGCCGTGCCGTGCCGTGACGGCTTGCCCTTGTCATTGACACGCACAACCAAGCGGTGCAGGCCATGATGCTTGCGCAGGATCTCCTTCTCCAGTGTGATGTCTCCACTTTGGGGGGAGATCTGGAAGAGCTCAAAGGGGTTGCCTCCTGTGATGCTGTAGGTCAGCTCGGCATTGACGCCGGTGTCGATGTCCTCTGCCTTGACCTTGCTCACCTGCTGGCCAGGGCTAGTGTGGGGCAGAATGTGCTTGTAGGTGGCATTGGAGGGCGAGGTGATGAAGGGAGCATTATCATTCTCATCCAAGACATTGATGGTTACCCCTACGTAGGCAGACCTGGGTGGATCCCCACCGTCCACAGCCTTGAGTCGGAAAGTGTACGTACTTTGCTGCTCCCGGTCAAAAGAGATGCTGGAGAGAATGGTGCCAGTGCCATTCTGGATGACAAAATCCCCATTGTCTTGCTCTACAGACAGCTGGATTCGGGCATTTTCTCCTTTGTCAGCATCGATCACCGTCACCATGCCCACGGGGCTGAGGGGTGGCATGTTCTCCATCACCGAGAAGTTGTAGCCGCTCAGCATGAACTTGGGGTCGTTGTCATTCCTATCCATGACATTGATGGCCACCGACGCTGTGCCCTTCAGGCTGGGGCTGCCCTTGTCTGCTGCCACCACCAAGAACTCGTAGCGCTCCCGCTGCTCACGATCCAGCACCGCTTTCACTCGAATCTCTCCGGAGTCAGGATCGATGGTGAAGGAGTCCTTGGAGGATGGGTCGGTCACCAGTGAGTAAACCAGCTTGGCATTGGAGCCACTGTCTGCATCACTGGCACTCACCTCCATCACTAGGTCATTGGGCTCGTTGTTCTCAGGGAAGGCTACCTCGGTGAAGCTCTGGCTGAAGACGGGCGCATTGTCATTCACATCTACTACCTGCACCTTCAGCGAATTGGTGCTGGAAAGGGGCGGGTTCCCCGAGTCCACTGCCACAATCTCGATTGTGTAGTCCTTCACCGACTCATAGTCCAGAGGTGTGGTAGTCTGCAGGAAGTATTTCTTCTTGCTGTCGCTCCCTGTTTCACTAGCCTGCCGCAGCTGGAAGGGGACGTCCCCAGCCACCACACAGGTCACCACAGCATTCTCACCCTCATCTCGATCGGACACCTGTACCAGAGCCACTGCTGTCTCTACTGGTACATCCTCCGAGATATTTGCCATGCCATCCTGGTGGGTGACCAACCCAATGCCCCGAATTTCTATAGAGGGTGCGTTGTCATTCATGTCCTTGATGGTGACCACTACCTGTGTGCGGGCACTCTTGGGGTTAGCCCCCTTGTCTTTGGCCATGACGGAGAACTTGAGGGTGCTGACATCCTCACGGTCAATGGGCCCCTGGACAGTAATGAGCCCTGTGTTGCGATCCAGGCGCAGCAGCCGGCGCACCATATCTGATGCTTGGTGGAAGGAGTAGTCAATCTCGGCATTGGCACCCTGGTCCGAGTCATTGGCCTTCACCTGCAGGATGGAGGGAGGAGATGGTGAATGAGAGGCCAGAGTGGGGGGAAAAGGGTGGATTTCCTCTTCTGAGGCTAAGACCTACAGGGCACCCTGAGACCGGCAGGGTGGCTGGGAGTGGCTCTCTAACAGAGGCCTTCCCTCACTCTTCCAGAGAAACCGGCTGTGCCGGTTGGGCTGAGTTCCCCTCCCGACTGGCTCCAGCATGCAGAGAATCCACTGGGAAGCAGCACTGCCAGAGCCAGGCAGCAGTGGGGAGGGACAGCCCCTGCTGCACTAAACCATCCCTTCCCACTGCCTGCAGCCAACAAGTGGGGCTCGCGTGGCCGGGAAGATAACAGTGGTGAGGCCACACACAGTTGTGGCAGCTCCATCCCAGCTTGCACCAACCATCCCTTGCCTGTCCGCCAGCCGCTCTGCATTCTCATAAACCTGCCTAGTATTTGCTTTCTAAAGAAGATGAGGTTTGTCTAACATTTGCCTCCCTAATCGGCTCTCCGAGCAGCCTGTTCTCTGCACCATTTGCTGCTCTGCCGTTATCTTGCTCAGCAGATTTGGATGGAAAATGAAAGTTGTTAAATGTAAATTCCACCTTTTACCTCCACTCACAAAAAAAGGCGGAAGTCATTTTACCCAAAAGATAAAAGCAGAGCAATGGCAGTGGTGGTGGCTCAGCCCATTCTCCTCCCGGCCTCGCGGCTCCCTTATCTGCTTCCAACTTCCATTCTCTTAACGGTGAAAAACGATTTTTTAAAAATTCACATCAGAATTAGCGAGCAGATGAGAGCCAGCCACACTCTCCTTATTAAGACAGCAGCTGCCGATAAGCAGATGTCACTGCTATCATGTCGATGTTGCCTCCTAGCAAGACCCACCCAGACCCAGCCTGTGGGTTGCCCACGATGGTGCAGAGTCCTGTGTGCAGAAAGCACTCCGGTTCTGCAGACAGCATCCCCTGTCTCTCTGTTTCCACGGAGCAGCTGAGGAAATGCAACCAGTGAAAGGGTCTATGTCATGTCCACAGGCAGTGTTCAGACCAGCCTGGCATGACTCTTGTCTCCTCCACAGACCGTGGGTCCCAGCTCTCCCCAAAACCTGCCACCATGCCTCTAAAGACCCTGCTGCTACTCCCCACCCTGGCTGAACTCCCCAGGCATCCCATCCCACCATGTTTTAGCAGAAATGACATCCCAGCCTGATGCTGTGGGCTCCTACAGCATGCAGCCCTTCTAGGATCTCCTTCCCCAAGGCAGCACATGGCCATATAAAAGCCCATGGATTGTCCCTGTTAAAGCACAGGGGAGCTGGGGAAGATCAGGAAACAAAAAACCAACCTGGATGACGGAGTGCCCCACGGGACTGTTTTCAGACAGCTCAGCCTCGTAGAGGGCCTTCTCAAACTTGGGTGCATTGTCATTCATGTCCACGATGGTGATGCGCAGCAATGCACTGCTGGCCCGTGGCGGGTTGCCCCCATCCTGCACCTTGATGGTCAGGTCATAGGAGTCCCACTGCTCCCGGTCCAGGTTTCCCATAACGATCAGCTGTGGCTGCTTCTCCTCCTGGTCCTCAGCTACCTGCAGCCCAAAGAGTTCCTGTGCCTCAGGGCCAGCCAGTAGCTCATAGGAGGCAACGCCGTTGGGCCCCGAGTCCCGGTCCATGGCTGGAGGGATGGAAAAGAGAGCCCCGATATTGGTGTTCTCAGGGATGGTCAGGGTGAGGACAGGTGAGGCGAAGTTGGGGGTGTTGTCATTGATGTCAAGCACTTCGATCTGCCCCTCCAGCAGGCGCGGGCTGTTGTTCTGGATCAGGTCAGTGATGGACACTTCGAACTCCAGGTAGCAGGGCTCTCCGGGCAGCAGGTGCTGGCATTCACGCAAACTCTCCCGGTCGATGGAGGTCTCTGTGGTGTAGATGTCTCCTGTTTTGCCATCCACACGCAGGTACGGGGCCCCCACTTCCAGCTTGTAGAGGTGCCCCACGTCGGGGAAGCCGTAGTCAGAGGCCAGGCTGCCGATGAGTGTGTTGGGGGGCTGCTCCTCCTGCACTTTGTAGACCACACGCGTCCCGCAAGCAAGGGCAGGCAGCTGGCAGAGGAGCCACAGGGCCAGGCAGGAAGCGAGGGTCCTCATCCTGTGCCTCAGGGGAGCTGGAATGACACAAAATACCTTGGGTTAAGCTGCTTGAGCTCTGGCTGCACTCCGTGGGACTGCAAAGCCACGACTCAAAAAGAAGGGAGATTCCAGGACCACCTGGTCCCAGCCTCCACCAGCAAGGGCCCAGGAAGCCTGACCCTGGAGCGCGAGTTCCCAAAGAGCAACCCTGTCAGCGAAACCCTGGCCCTTCCTGCAAGACACAGGAAGCCACTCCTGCCACCGTCCACCCTCTTCGTCACCGCACACTCTGTAATTACAACCAGCCAGGCATGCTAACGGGGCAGACTGCACGCAGCCTGCTGCCAGCAACCCGATGGGAGCCAGCCAGGCTGGGAAACAGCTTCTCACCACAGAGACACAGGAGCATTGTGCACCATGCACTGTGGGGACACTACTGGCCACGTATTGCAGGGACATGGGGGAACCGTGCACCCTGTCAGCACCATGAGGCTGTGGCAGCAAAGGGACAGGTAGGGTCCCTGCGTGGGATGTGGGGATGTAGCTCCTCAGCACTGCAGGGACATGGGGCATCGCAGGGATGCAAGGACATGGAGCACTGTTTGCACTGCAGGGATGCCACCCCTCCAGCACTGCAGGGATGCAGCGCACTGCCACAGCAGGCACAGCACAGCACTGCCCTCCCTGAGCTGCCAGCTTTGCGCTGCAAAGGCACCACCCACCCAACACTGCAGGGATGCAGGAGCCCTGCACAACACTTGCACTGCACTGCATGCAGGACACTGCCACCTGCCCGTGGTCCCGGGCAGAAGAAGGGACAGTGCCTGGCACCGTGCCAGGGGAACACTGCCCACCCTGCACTGCAGCTCCCAGCATCCATCCTGCAGTCCCTGAGCTTCCCTACAGCCCTTCATGGCCCTTGAACACAACGGGCAGCACAGCATCTCCCCTTCGCTGCACGGTCTCTAGGCAACCCCGCACCCTGCACCAGCTGAAAAGCATTCCCTGCTCCTTCCCATTCTCTCTTGCTCTTGGCTGAGATGTGCCTGGGGGGTGCCCAGGGCTGTCCATGTCCACCTCACCGACTGCAGAAATGGTGACAGGAGCGCTGCCCCCTGCATTGCAGACGCACACTGCACGCTGCACTGCAGGCACCCAGCCACTGGAAACCTCCTCCCAGCGTGCCGACACTGCAGGGCCAGTGCCAGCTCTGCAGGGACTGTCCCCTCTGCACTGAGCCACACGCTTCATCACCTGCACCTGGCCACCAGCCTTCATGCCGCCTGCTTCCCTGGCTGTGAGCGGTCACAGAGCCTTCACTGTATGTCCAAAAATCAGCATTTACAACATCTGCCACAGCACCTGAGCAGCAACTCGCTCCTTCCATTCCTATCACTTCCCTCCATGCTCTGCACCCAGCTTGTGGAACGGGATGGGATGGGATGGGATGGGATGGGATGGGATGGGATGGGATGGGATGGGATGGTGCTCCTCCAACTATATGGCCAAATGCAAAATTCCTGCTCTCTTGGAATCATGTGTCTCCTCAACAAGTGGAATATCCTGCGCTGGCTGCCCTGTTGCTTTCCACAAGCCAGCTGCTCACAGTTCCTCTATCCCCTTGCTTGCCCATGGACAAATGCCTGCCTCAAGCTCTCCCTCGGCAGGTGGAAACACAGCTCTGCTTCTGAAGATGAAGCTCTGGCCCCAAAGCCTAGCTCCACTCTGCTCACTGGTCCTGCAAACACCCTTTGTGCCAGAGGACAGATGCTCCCAACCCGCTGAGAGCACGCACAGCCATCCACAGGCACATCCTGGGTAGAAGGGAGGAGGAAAGCCAGCCGTCCCCAGCCTGCACATGGCCGGGGATGGAGGCAGGAAGCTGGGCAGGAGCACAATGTGGCTCTGCATCAATGCAAGCAAGACCCAGCAGTGAGCATGCAAGCACACAAGCACACGCATGTATATTCCACAGACTGTGACTACGCATCTGTAGGAAAAAGGCACACGCGTATGTGTATGCACAAGCACTGTAAGGAGCACACCCATGCCTGCACCAGCAAAGTGCGTGCACCAGGACGGAGCTGGCATTGCTGCACTGCGCGCACACGCGTGTGCACAGAGCGATGTGTGTGCGCGTGCCCCTGTCCCCATCGCTGTGCATTGGCATGATGTCACCCTGCACGGGGGCATTTGTGCCCTGCGGATGTGGGTCTGAGCCCACGCCAAACATCGTCATCCCATTGCTTTGGAAATGTCTGTGCACTGAGGGCGTGGAGCATGAGGAACAGGGCTCCAGAGGATGCCTGGCGGGGAGGCACCCAGCACGGGCTGTTTGCCCACGCCTGTTTGCATGCGGCTGGCGCTGACGTATCCACCCTGCCTAAGCCCAGGTGTGAGGATTTCAGCTAAAGGTAAAAGTCCATGTGCAGGGCCGTGGCTCTGCCGTCACACAGCCCTGACTCACCAGGACCAGGAGCCCAGGGTAGGAAGGGAGTCACCCCAGGGTGCCCTGCACCCATGCAGCGTTCTCTGGGATAAAGGTCTGGAGCCTGAACCCTGTGTTAACACAGGTGAAGGGAGCCTCCAAAATGGGGAGCTGGAGGCAGAGTGGGGCGATCACCCTAGAAAGAGGTGGCTACAGGAGGAGGATGGGAGCCAGGCACCTGGGTTCGCCAGGGAAACAAATCCTGCTTGGTGCTTGGGGTGGGGACGACACACAGCAGACGTGAGAGCCCCAAGCAGGGCGTGAGGAGAAGGAGGAAGCTCCACCATCGGGGAAAAGCACGTCTGTGCAGGAGGCAGAGGCTTCCCAGGGGCCGGTGCACAGCAGCGGTCTATTTTCCCATGGGATCTAAGGACCATCCCACACTTTTTTCTCTGGTGCCAGCCACCTTTTTCCGACCTGCTGGCAGAATACAGAGTGCTTAAAAATAAAAACCGCTCCCAAAACAAGTATTCCTCGGCACACACAATTCTCCCTGCGGGGTGAGTGCGAGAAGAGACCCGACCACATGAGAGAGGCGTTAGTCACGCTGCTTAATGCATGACTGGGAAGCTCTCGGAGGACAGTGGCATGCAAAATCCGACAGAATTCACTTATTCCCCCCCAAAAGACAAGCCCTAATGAGGGAGAGGCTATAAAGCACGGCTAATTCAAGCAACTGCTCCAACAAGCCTGCGATTCCCACAGCCTCTTGGCTTCGTTCCATAGTCAGCGGCTCCACATGGGGTTGGTTGCCGATGTCCCCCCCCCCCCCTCTTTCTCCTGCTGGGGGCTGATTGTACGGCTCCCAGCCCTGCTCAAGTCCCTCTAAATGCTGAACATCCCAGCGCCGATCCCCCCACCAAGAGCCGCTGCGTGTTCCAAGCCGAAACGATATCCCACCCGATGCCAATCCCCGCGCATAGGGCTGACATTAAAGACGATATTGTCCCCAAAACGGCCACCGACGCTCCGACTCGCACCCAGCGCGTTGCTGGGTCGGACTCTCGGTCCCGTGCCCAGAGCAGGGTTTCCTCCTGCTCCGAGCACTGCGGATGCTCGGTGTTTGCTCGGGATGGATGCGGGCTGGGCCCGAGCACCCGCGATGGGGACCGGCGCCCGCTTGGATAGCTTTTACCCCAAAATTATTAATCGGGAGACGAGCGGTGAAGGAAAAGAGAGCAAAACCTGGGATCCTCCTCCTGCTCCACATCACTGCAACTCGTGCAGGAGCAAGGTAGCGACCTGTCAGAGCGTCCCTCGGGGCAGCTTCCATCCTCCTCTCCAGCCCCTAAAATCCCTCTCTGGGATGCTGAGGGCTCACGTACCGCCCAACTATCCCTCTCGCCTGGCGGGGCCGGAGCAGCGGCAGGGCCGCAGGGAGCTGCCGACAGCGGGAGCAGCTCTGGGAAGGACCGGAGGCGGACCGGGCTGAGGCTCCGCAGCACCGAACGCTGGGAGCCGGCAGTTCTGCGCCGTGCACGCATTGCACACGCACACCTCACACGCACATCGCGCGGACACTCGTGAAAAACACAGCTGGGAGCGCTCTGTCCGGCGCACACAAGTAGCGAGCACGGCTTTGCCGAGCCGCACGCACCCGCACCCCACTGAAACGCTCACTTACACACTCACACACACACAAGCACACGCGCAGCCCCCGCTCCTCCACTCGCGAACCGCTCCTGGCGCACCGCCCGGCGACACGGGGACACAGCGCTGCTGCCACAGCCGTGCACCCATCCTGCAGGCACCTGCCCACCGCCTCCCCGCTCCGCTCTGCCACGCACGGACAAACGGACGCGGCCCCGCCGCCCACCCGCAACTTCTCCCGCTCCCACGCACCGCTTTCCCACGGCTGCAAACACCCTCGGATTGTAGGGGGGAGGGAAGGGGGGAGCACACGCCCCTACAACCCACTCACGAACGCGCACCCAAACGGGGAAAAAAAACACCCCCGCGCCCCCCCACGGACACGCTCCCACGCTGGGGCACGGCTCCGGGTGGCACAACAAGTGGCAGCGCCCGCCCCGGCCGGCCCCAGCGATACCGGCAGCAAAACCAAACGCCCAGCCTTGAGCCCCCGGTGCCGCTGCCCGTGTCGTCGTCGTCCCCCCCCCCACAACCACAGCCACGGCCCCGGTCGTGCGTGGAGCTCTCGGCCCTGCCGCGGCTCTTACTTGGATGCGGCCGGCGCTGCGCTCCGTGCCGGCTCCTGGAGCGCTGATCCAGCGGCGTCTGCATCGCCTCCTCCCCGCCGGGACCGGGCTCCCCCCACCCCCCCGGCTCCTCCGGTTCGTTATCCACGGATGAAAAAACAAAATT